CTTCCTTTCGAGTCGACCACGACATGGGGAGCAGCCCGAGGGAAGGAGTTCTGCCCGTTTGCACGCTCCCACAGCGGGTCAGGCAACTCGCTGCCCGTTGTTTATACTTGCAGCACGTGGTCAAGCACCAAAGGGTCAGTTTGGGATGCTCTATACAACATGGCGACCTGTCAAGCCAATGACAAATGTGTTGCACTACAACGTGCGTGGGCCATGTATGGCATGTGTCAACATGCCTTCCAATAGTTTTTGTATACTCCCTAGATGTCACATCTATATTGGATGCAGATGGATGTGTCATCTAAGATGTGTCACATTCCACCAATACGTCCCACTGGCCTTTCAACAACTGAAAATATACTCTAAATCCCCAAAACTATTCTTGTCCAAAGTGGCTACAATAGGAGACCAATGAACGTCATACAAACTCCAGCTCTGCATCCAATCGAGCACTACGACTGTCAACCAGCTTGGCTCAAGAAAATGGTCCCATTCTCCGATGTTCCTCAAAAAGCCTATTATTCGCAACACCGCATAATGACCACCGTTTCACTGGGTGGATCACTTATGCATTATGGTGTGCGACTTGTACATATTTGTACATTACCGCTGAGTGTATGGGCAACTTTGACGTATGTTTTATGAAGTGGGTTGCATTGTGGTGATGAATGGGCATCTCTGAAGTGCGGTATGGCTGGTTGGTGATGGATGATGGTCCTTGTTACGTGACAAGGAAAGTTCTGTGGGTGCAAGGAGATTCAAATTGTCCGGTTCCAGGGGTCGTTGCCACCGTCGGCAAGGCTCTCCATTGTGGGAAGGGCGAACAAATATGTAAGCCCCGGCAGTTTGTGTGTGGTGTGGCCTGCGTCTAGTTGTGTGCCAATGCCGTTGAAGCATCGGCGATTGTGGATTCGCGCTTCCCGTGTGCACTCCAAAGGGGGCCGTTTGAATCGCATCAACGGCCTTTCCTTCAGGACTATAATATCAATCTACCCGTCAAACAATCCCGAGACGGGCAGCAAATTCTCTTGAGTATTGCATCAAATACCCCAAGTTTCAACGATGGCCCGTCTCTCCAAACTCAACGCAATACCCTTGGATGACCCTCAGCGGCCTAGAGACCATCTTCTATGGATCAAAACATTCCCATATAATGGGATTAACATCCTAAACTATTGCGCATCTATGTCTTGTACTAGGACATATTCCTAACGCCATTCTATCCATCCGAAATGTTGTTAGTCATAGCTCATGATGTATTGCAACTTGAACAAGTGAAAAATGGCTGCCATGTTGCGTCCAAACTCAGTCAATCTCCTCCCAATCCTTACCAGAATCAAGTTGTCCGTATTACTCAATGTTATGGCAGCTATTTCCACTTCTAATTTCATAGATTGTAGTTCAAATTGGCTCCCAAACTATTGCCTAATCCTGTTAGTATAAGTGCTGCATTTTCTCAAAATATGGGCAGCATTTTCCCCCTTTTTTCTTACTTTTCGCATTCTAGTATTACTTATAGTGTTCTAGTCTATCTTCTATCTATACCGGCTACACTCTAAGAGAATTTCTGTAGAGTTTCCCCTAGGTTTTTGTCTTTTCATCCCCAGGCCTGCCCCGTATATCTACGATGTTGCTTTGAGACCACTTTTACATGAACCTTGAGGCTGAAAAGTGGCCCCTTAAGGTTCGAGCAGCATTTCTGTGTGGCCTTTGAGTGTTTTTCACTACCTTCAGTTTCACCCTTTCCCTTTCGATTCCCGAAAACGGGCTGGCCAAGCTTGCTTACTAATAACCAATATTGCGCATGTGCTTCAGAGCGCTTTTCGCTTTTCTGCATCGCTGGGCGGCTGTCCATGTCAAGTTGACTGGTCTACGGTGTAGTGACACCCATTCAGTTGCCTTTTGTTGGTCACGAGCTCGACATTGGGTGACGTGGCCCAATGAATAACGGCCAATTTAACAGGTGATTGTACAATAACTAATTGGCTGTTTCCAACTGGGCATTGATTTGTTCTGGATGCTCTTAGCAAGTTCACGTCCATGTTCAGGCGCACACTTGGCAGTGGAGGGTAGTCGCACAAGGCCCGCTGTCGCCGGTAGTCGCCCCAAGCGACCTTTTGCTCAAAGTTGTTTTTCCGAAGGCATGTGCTAGCTTCAGTGGACGTGGCATAGCACGTGTTTAAAGTGCAAGGATCTTGACCAGTCAATGCACTGAGTGGCATAGCATATGCTACAGTATTTTATGTCTCCGGCGAATTGAGCCATGTGGGTGACCACAAGCATAACTTGGTACCTTAAGTCAGCAGGTCACATGTTGCTAGCTCATAAATGGGCTCTGCAGAAGATGGGCACCCTGCGACAGCACGAACCAGCAAAGCCGAACAGACAGTGTTCAATTGTCCTTGCTCTTGACCACACCGACTGTCGTTCAATGCTGGCGGATGGATACACCACGGCTCCTAAATTAGTGCAGCAATGCCGGCATATGCTGTATAGTAATGTTGCACCAAGCACCGGTGGTAAAGTTAGCAGGGGATAGATAAGCAATTGATTGCGTCTGCCAGCCTCGCCAGGCTTGCGCGGATGCTGAGCCGACGCTGGGAATGTGAGGAAGAAATTGCAACACTGGTGTCACCCACACTGTAGGCGCTGGGTCGAAATGATCAAGGCAAAGAAGGGCGCATGGGATGCGCCGCACGCTGCGACAGGTCATCGCCGACGGCATGCAAGCCGTCAATAAGGACACCCAAAATATGGTTGCATCTGCCAAAGAACAACACAGGTGGAAGTGACGCGGAAAATGTAAACAGAAAACTTGTTTGGTGAAAATATCAGGGCTGATTTGACCCCAGTTGCCGGGCTTTGAATGCGGTTCTCGCTAGTTGCTGCTGGCCAATTCTGTTGAATTCCCCAAATCAAACGCAGAATAAACATGAATGTATGAAATGGTCTCTTTTCTAGCTGTGAACAGTGCGACAAAGGCGAGATATGCATCATCAAAAAGAACACATTCATTGAAATGTTCATGTAGTCCCGTAATTGACCAGCACAAATGGTGGCATCAAATTTTCTGTACATTTATTCAACATCAGATCAACCTTTTGGACATCCCTGTTTTGGAATTCAGCTCACTTGCATTCTGAAAATGTACAGTGGTAGTGAGGAGACGACACGTTGGTGCTAAGCTGGCACCAATTTGCGTGCATATGGAATCGCTTCATGGATGTCTGAGCGTCAGCTGGGGATGCGGGAGTTGCGATGGCTGGATTTGACCAGATCGAAAACGCAAAGACGGGTTCTCACAATAGGCTTTAGGCAGACGTCAATGGGCACAGAAGCACTGAGGCTTAGTTACCTTTATGCTGTCGCCTTGTACAGTGCATTGTGTTCCATTTGGCTTCTTTTTTGGCTCCAGTTTTGGTGGTAATGGATTTCAGCCCATGCCGTTCTCAGAATTCGCGCACAGGCTGTCCCTCTTACATATTTTGTTTGGCCGAGTCTGAACGATAACCGCTTCCCCATGGGTGGTTCAATATTGAAATACCCATTGAGAAGCGGTTGTTCTTGCTGCTTGCACGCAGCTGTATTGTGCATTTCTCTGGCGCCATATGCCTGCGGGTGGGCGAGCATTGGCGATGTCCAGGCCACCAATCGCGGCTGCAGCATTTTTTTGTCAGATTTTGCTGAATTTTCAAATTCAGGAAAAAGGCTACCAATCCATGCTTTTTAGATAGCATTTTCTTAGATCTTTGGAGCGCGTGTGCACGTTTCCATCAAACGACGTTTCCTAATGCTGACTGGGCTGGGACGCCACATGAACAGTTTTTAATTAATCCAAGCCATTTTCACCACGGTGACGGAAAAGTAGTACGTCTCTTGGCCATTATATATTCAAACACACCGCATGTAAGTTTTAGACAGCACCAAACCCCTGCTCAAGCGCCTTGCCCTCATTACGCAGCGCCAAGTCCGCGAGGGAAAGCCATTGCCTTTTGGTGCATCTTGGAAATGTGAAGAGCTCATTTCTATGGTGTGCACAGTTATTGCTGAAAAGGACCATTTGCCCCTGTTTATCCACAGCACCACGTATGCGCTTGCAGACCATCTCCCCCACTGACCGTATTGTGGATCATCTAGTAAGATGATTGAATATTCTTTGGGCTTTCGTTGTTAAAGGCCCGTGCCTGTGGGCATTGCGTCAACTGAGGCATTGATTCATATGCCGCTGCCAGCGTTCTGATTTTGTTGTTAGTAGCTGCAGCACAATGCACCAAAACGTGCTCAGACATTCCACATTTTGCACATGCGCTGGATATCAATCAACGCGAACTTGGTTGTGGGACGTTGTCCAGTTGTGCAATAGGGCCATCATGCTAGCCAGAAGTGTGGCGTTGCTTGTCCAAAGCGCGTTTCATCATGAGCCAAACAGGTTCGTCGTGTTGCACAAGTCACAACATGCCATGTTACATAACATTGTGGCGCTGTTCTCATCTTGCAGTCAGAAAAATTTCAACAGAGATTTCAGTTTCTTCCACATTCCTTTGCAACTGTCTTCTGTACTTTGGGTATTGGGCGCTTGCACCTCTGAAGCCTGCAAGGCCAGATGCTCAGATCCATTCCCAGTCGGGACCCCGAGCCATGGACACACGTACGACAGCGCTCTGTGTGCGACGGCCCTTGCATCCTTTCGCAACCTCGAAACGGCACTCCCATGGACTCGGGGGACAAACGCCGCAAGGGCGGCCACGGCCGGTGCCAGGAAGTGACAGAAACCTTGGCGTGTACAATGGCACGGTTCCCCGGAGCGGCGCCGGGTGACGCCCGCGTGCGTCAGCAGGCTGGAACGTCGCTCCGCGGCCCTCTCATCCCTCGCGCCCGTGTGAGCGGGCCTCTTGCACCTCCCGACCTCTCGGGACCAGGCAGAGACCCGCGCACCGAGCGCACCGAGCGCGCTGAGCGCACTCGCCGCACAGCCACCCACCGCCAGCCAGGTCGCCAGGATGCGCGGCTCCGCCGGCCTCCAGGCGAGCTTCATGGCCAGCCTCCTGGCGGCCGGTGACGACCCTGACGACCCGGGGTCGCCCCACTGCTCACCACCAGTTCCGCAGCCGAGCGGCGACAGGACGGCCGCTCGGTCGCCTCCTGGCTCGCCGATCCCGGCCAGGCAGGCCACCCCGGCGGCTGCCGCCGTGCATCACGTCGACTACAGTCAGCCGATCGACTTTAGCCGGTCGGGTCCCGGGGAGGGCTCCTCCAGCCAGGGTCCCCCGCCCGCCAAGCCGTCGGTCTCGGAGCTGAAGCCCGCATCAAAGGTGAGCATGGGCGATAGGGAACGCGCAACAAATTGGCTGCGGATGTTCGACTTGGGATGGATGTTTGCGCGGATGCCGTTTCGGGGCAGCCTGCCTCCGGGGCCCACCGCGCGAATGTTGTGGTGGCTTGCCGCTCGATCGGTCGATCAGTCGCTGCGCAGAGCCTGGGCGTCGTTCCAGAACGGAGCCCCGCCGTCGCGATTGAGATCTGGTGTGGTCCCCGACCTGCTGCAGGCACATGGCGCGCTTCTGTGCATCCCAGAGGCGTCGCCTGACGATCAGAAGGGCAGTGGAGGCGGGAGCGACGGCCAGCCCACCCCCGCCGTGGCCGCCGCTGCCCACTCCCCCGCCAGGAAGCGCAAGGCCGACGGCCCGCTTCCACGGGGCTCGCGCAAGCCCCTGAAGCCGGCTTCGCCGGTGAAGAAGGGCGGGCCCCGCGGAGGCAGCCCCAAGCACAGGGGGGCGGACCGCGCCTACAAGAGGGCGGTTCGGCGGGCGCAGGGCGGCCCCAGCCTGGGCGCCCAGCCGGCTCCTCCGCAGGGCTCCGCGGGACTTCAGATTTCGGCTCCGCAGGTCCCGGCTCCGCCGGCGCCTCCGAACCCCACGCCTGCGGCGGTCGGCACGGTGGGTTGGACAGAGGGTACAGGGGAATGGGCGCGGCAAGAAGCTCGCCTGGGGAGGCGTCGCGATTGTGATCCACTTTCGCGATGCCGCGTACCGAAGTGGTGGCGATCGCCCGTTTCCGGGCAGCGCGCGAGTCGCTTTTCGCGGGCCCCCCTGGGCCTTGTGGCGGTCCTGACGCGTGGATTATTGCTCCATCCAACTTGCAGGTGCCCACCACTGGACAAGTCGCCCACGCCCCCAAGGGCGGCAGCAGCTTCTGGGGCCGGGCCGTGGCTAGCCGCGCTGCGAAGGTCAGGTGCCATGGCGGGAAGATCGGCAAGCGCGGCAGCGGCGGCAGCGTTGCCCTCCGCGCCCCGCCCACTCACAAAGCGCGACAGAAGATGCAGGACAAGCACAAGAGGCGCGCGGGGACGGGCAGGGGCGCGGCCAGGAAGATCATGACAAGCAGCGCTGAAGAGGTAACCGATCGCACCGACCAGCCCATCCTGATCGCCTGAGCACCTCTCTTGGGAGAGGCCGGATGTTCTTGGAGGAGGGCGCACCTGACCGGCCTTTCTCCGCTGCGTCTCCGCTGCGCGCAGATGGACTGGGAGCCGGTGGTCGAGTACGACGGCTGGGCTCCGGGCGTCACGTTCCGGGTGGAGAACGGCTTGTGGTACGCGGAGCTGCCCGGGCCGCGCCTCAACCATCCTGGGCCCGAGGACTTTTTCGATGTAATCATGCACGAGGCGAACGGCAAGCCAATCGTCCACTGCCAGGGCGTCGTCACAGGCAAGCCCGCGCTCTTTCCCGCCGGTGGCCTATCCTGGCCAACCGCGTCAATGCTCCTGCGCCTCCCAAGCTTTTGCTCTTTCTGCCGTTCCCCTGTCGCACATCGCACCTCACGCTCACGCCGATGCTTTGTTCGCAGGCTACCTGTACGGCAGGCTGCCGTGGTGAGCCGGCCGCTGCCCGCGCCTCCAATGCACTGGCGGCTGGAGGCACCTCGGAGGCGCGGCGCAGGCGGGGCAGGGCAGGGCGATCTCAGGGCTGGCACTGCGGGCGGGGCACTGCACCAGGCGCGCCTGCGCCAGGACGCGCTGCTTCCAGGCCGGGAGCTGCCGACGGGGGCGCCAGGGGCCCTCCGTGCCCTCCGTGCAATGCATGGGGGCGGCCACGGGCGGCTTCGGGCAGCGAACCTGGATGGCGATGTGGGATGTGGGAAGGGGGGCTTCTTCATGGGGGTTCGCAAATCGCGGTGCCCAAGTGACGACTCGCGTCGTGGGCCGCAATGCATCGGGGCCATCACTGGGACGCCGGGGTAGCTGCAGACGTCTTTTCTTATTTTTTATTCTGTTTGTCATGAGGGCAGGGGGTAGGCGGGTAGGCGGGTAGGCGGGTAGGCGGGTAGGCGGGCGTTGGACTGGGGGCTGCGTTGGGGCCAGGGTGTCCGGCGGTGTGTGTTTGTGTGTGTATGTGTGTGTGTGTGTGTGTGGAATTGGAGGCGTCACTTGAAAAGGATGAAGGGTGCACCCTTCGCTCCTGCTCGCCCTTGTTTCCCATAACGCGCTGGGAAATATTCCATCGGGGGCAGAGCGGCGCGTGAGTTTGGCACCCGGCAGGCGAACTTCTGCCCCTTGTCCACGGCCTCCAAATGTTTGCGGATTCGGCAGCTTGTGTTTTGGTGGAAAATGCAGCCACAACAGCAACAGCACGGTGGAGGAGGGCAAGCAGTTGAGGCACGGCTGGGGACCGCCTCGGGTGCATCATGGAAGATAGCAACAAACTTGGTGAGTTGCAGCGGGGCGTCTGGCAATTCCCCTCATATCCTACCTGTTTTGTGTGCCATACCGATGCGACGCCATTTGGCATCGGCAAATGAGAATTAGTTGTTGGGAGTTGCAGAGAACCTGCTATCAACTCACGGGCACGAACACATCACTGCACACAGACTGCACGGAAACTGGCATTGGCAGCAACATCCGTCCGACAATGGTCACTGCCATGCTGTCAAGAGTTGCGAGGTGCAAAGTCGCTTGAATGCATCCCGTTACAGATTCGTCCACTCTGATTAGACGTTCCAATGCAGGGCTGCAGAGGGCGATGTTTGGATGTGCACTTGCACGCGAGTAATCTCGTGGGACGTTATCCGTATTTGCACGAGCAAATCATCGGTAGCAAATGTTTCTGACATGGGAGCACACTTCACGGGCGCCACAGACGCCATCCTATTTGAGTCTCCAACGGTGTCGCCCCTTATCCGCTGTTGCCTGCTGTTCTGCCAGGTTTGAGTTTCCTTTCGACAAAGGCGTTGTATAGCTGCTCAAGACCGCGAAGCACAAAGAGAGGTAAGGCAAAAAAATCCTGTGCCTGTCACTTCAATGCAGTTGCCGTTTTGACCAATGTTCAGTAAAACTTAGGCGACCCACTAGATGACCCTCATGCCGCGCCACAATGCCGTCCCTGGCTCAATGACCCAACAGCAAAGTAGACAATCCTCACCCCACACGCCCACATGTGCCCAGGTCAGGCGAGGGCAAGCAAGATCTGGAAATCATTCTCGGGAGAGAAGGAATGGTCATATCTAACCGGCATTGGCTTCAAGACAAAGAAGCGGGATGGACAGCACCAGCCTTGGTACATCTCCGAGCACCTAATGTAGTGCATCGACTGGGTGAGTCACTCACAAGCCATACTGCAGCTCATATTTGACTGAAATGCCTGTGGACAGGCATGGGCAGGCTTGTTATTTATGTTTACGTTTACGATTTTACGTTTACGCTTTTCTGCGTAAAATGCAAATTCGCAAAAGGGACTGTTTTTATGGCTGCATTTACGTTTTACGGCTCGTTGTGGCACAGAGGAAATACATAAAAGTAGCGCACAATGATCAGTCCTCCACCCCTCGAGCACCCGCAACACAGCGTCGACTTTGCACTCGGCAAGGGCCACGACAGCGTGGAACAAAAGTTCGTTTCCTGCCCATTACAGCGCGTCTGGCTGCTTCTCCCTGGACACCTGAAGGCTGCGTGTACTGTCCTTATATAAAAGGGGCTGTATTCACGTTGTGTTTACGTATTTTTACGCGTTTTTACGCATGTATACCTGAAAAACTATGTTTGTGTGTAAAAACGTAAATACGATCTGTGTTTACGGCGCAAATAACAAGCCTGTCTGTCGAGCGTCAGGCGGCTTATAAGCTAAGCTTATACGAAGCCTTCGTGATCTGGCGCAGGACCGGGCGTCGATGTTCATGACTCCTCTGATCAGCAAAGCTTCAGGCGTCACTTCAGCCATCGGCAATCTTCTGCCTGCCCGGGGGGTCTCGCAGCCAAAGCCGCGGGCCTCCCCCTCGAGGAGGGGATTTGGGGCGCAGCCCTTATCCCCGCACTTTGCGCCGTCGATCGAGACGTGGCGTTTCCAGTGGACTCGACACAGGCTCTCGACGGTGGCCTTGGGGTGGCACCCTTTCCACGTTGGGAAGGGCCAGGGCGTGCGTGCTCGGATTGGATGGATGGCCAAGAGCGCTGCCGACAGTCTGTGTCTGGCGCGCATGGCCGTCCGAACGGGGGCGGAGTTCCAATGGGAGCAATGATGCCATCACAATGTATTGCTGGTTCCCAGGTGGGATGAGCGCGTTGGAGACGACCTCCGCCGAAGCTCAGTGTCCACAAAGGAGGTGTTATTCTGTCTGGCCGCGAGATTTGGACATCATCCTCCGGAGAGCAGTCTTGCTCGCATCTTACTAAAATCGGCTATATATCGAGACGGGACGACCAATTTCCCCGTCGAAACAGGCCGGACGGCGGCAAGCCATCGGACTTCTCATACACCTAATGTGGTGAATCGAACAGGCGAGTCACTGACAAGCGATACATTTATGTGCAACATACGATTGTTGAAAATGTCTGTGGAGAGCGCATTACGCGCTAACCAAAGTGTCAGAGAGATATGTGGCGTTGTTCGCGTTTCTCAGGCGTTCATGGAAAATTTACGAGGCAGGGAGCAACAGCACGCAATGTAGCAGAGACCCTAGTGTTCCGATGCAACATGCATGGATGTCCTTTGCACTTCAGGTGGCTGAAAACCTTTGTGAACTTGCAGAGAACGGGCACCTCACGCCACGACGGGGATGGACCAGACGTCGATGTTCACGGGTCATCTGGCCGGCGAGTCCAGCAGCCAGCGCCGCCAGCCAAGCAGCCACCAATCCAAGGAGCACACGCACTGCTACGCCGTGTGCGAATCGATGCAGTATACGATGCTGCACCTCTTCGTTCCTGCCAGGAGCTCGGCCATCTTCAAAAGCACATCAGTGAGGATGAGATGGGTGCAGCAAAGCTTCAGACGTCGTCTCGTCGACCTACACTCTTCTGCCTGTCCCGGGGGTCTCGCAGCCAAAGCCGCGGGCCTCCCCCTCGAGGAGGGGACATGGGGCGCAGCCCTAATCCCCGCATTTTGCACCGTCGATCGAGACATGGCGTTTCCAGTGGAATCGACACAGGCTCTCAACGGTGGCCTTGGGGGTGGCACCCTTTCCGCGCTGGGAAGGGCCAGGGCGGGCGTCATCGGATTGGACAGATGGACGGCCAAAAGTGCAGCCGACTTCCTTGTCTGGCGCGCGCGGCCGTCGGGATGGGGGCGGAGCGCCAATAGGTGCAATGAAGCCCACCATTTTTATGCTGGCTACGCAATGAGTCCTTGGGGAGGAACACATGAGGTGCTGCGCTCGCAGTTCGCGCAGGCCCTGGCGTTTTGTCTGCCCGGGGGGCTCGATGCCAGAGCTGTGAGCCCCCCCTTCGGGGAGGGGACTTGGATTGCAGTTCCAATCCTTCCCACGCACACATAGGCGGTCGAGACTGGACACGTGCGCCTGTGCGCGTGGTCATCCAGGCTCTCGCCGGTGGCCCCGAGGTGGTGCCCTTCTCATCTCGAGAAGGCCCAGGGCGGACGTCATCATGTTGGATACATGGACGGCCGACAGCGCTGCCGACGATTTGCGTTTGGCGCGCGCGGTGGTCCAAACATGGTCAGAGGGCCATTGTGCACAATGAAGCCACCACGCTTGGTGCAAATGGTCCGTCCGTCAGCAGCCATGGAGGCCAGCGGTACGAGTCTTAGGTGATAGGGGATTGTAACAGAGTGGAACGGGGCTGGACATAGACAACCCGCAGAAGGCTGTCCGGCTCTGATATCTAGCGACCACCCTGGATCCCGACAGCTGTCATTCATGGATTCTTGGATACATTGTTGTAATATTTCTCTCAGGTGCCTTTTGGGGTTGCTGCCTAGACTCATGGGTGGTGTGCTGCGAGCAACATTCATTTACACAGGCTATATGCAAGCACCGAAGAAAAGAAAAAAACAGTAATTGTAAATGCCAACATGGCAATCACCACATTTATCAGTGGGGAGATTGAAATAGCTGCGATGTCCAGCAACCTCATGTTCCGGCTGCTGGCAGTTCCCTCACACCAGCCGCACGCGCACTTGCTATACCTGTAGACCCCCGTTTGGGTACCACGGCACAGCACAAGACAAGGCCATGAAAATCCCTGCTGTGGTCTTGCGAAATAGATTTTCACGGCAGGGCTGTTGCCTCTCGTTTCCCTGTGCCTCGTTGGAGTCTGTGCATTGAGGGAAGGGTGGCTAGTACCACCGTGTGGCCCTGGGGCTAAAAACATGGGTGACTGTTTCAGAAACTGCTTGACAACATTTGCAATGAGAGGCACCCTGCTCCAGAACAAGTAATTGCATGAAACACATCTCCAAATGTCAAGTTGGGTTTAAATGTTGAAGATCCCAGCCATCCCAAAGACCAGGAACAAGGCTCACCATGGGGAACCGCTGATGGACCTAGCTTTCTTTGCCTCTACTGCAAGACGATTCCCCCAGTGATGGCCAATGCAGCGACTGCCGTTATGCCTGTCAAGAGCCAACTGCTCACTATCCCCTGCATCATACAATACAACATTGGTACAAGAAAACTATTGTCACATCCAGTGCTATGGCCGCAAAGCAATCAGGAATCGCTAAATTTATGCCAGGACTGGCACAATGGGGTAGGAATGACGGAATCACTGCTTTGAGAATGCAACCAGCATTTTTTCACCTTGCACGTTGTTGTCGCCATGTGGAGATATCTACTTTTGCCTGAGTCCGTATGGCACTGTCGCAGTCCTCTCTGGTTATGCAGTCAGAGGGTCTGGCCTTGTTGAATAGTCAGCCTTCCCCAACAAGTCAGCCCTTTGTGCAGCGGGCCTCACCTTCCGCCTTGCTATCGCCACACTGCTCAGGGCCTTCCTGGATGCCATCTCCACACTTTGATACCATCTGGACAGCCTGGAACAAAATCGCGCCTGCTGTCAAATTCGCTGAACAGCACTGTGCACACTGGCAAGTGCTCTACTGTCATTTGTACTAGGTACAGATAGGCAGAAGGAAGAGAATTGAAGGACAAACTGCAGCGCAATCAGTTTGATACAGCCTATCCCCATCATTTCATCCCAGTGGCTAGTCTTTGGCAACTATTGGCAACAGTAGATCCCAGATATGTTCGTGCGTTGCTGTGGACAGTGGCGGGGATTTCCGCCAATCCATGATGGCGAGATGGGCAGCCATGCGCCATCTCTGCCGGTTGTCCATCTCGATGGGCGCCGATCGTTGCGATAGAGTCTGAGCGAGGTTAACCGCTCTACCCTTCCAGTGCCCTGAAGTCGAGAAAAAGGGCCTGCACTTGTGTGTCGGGTCACCTTGGACCAAGGAACCTATTTTTCGGCTGGCGGGGGATGCCCTGGGAGGGACCAAATTCTGGACTGGAGTACTGCATGTTCATTGCATTGCCAAATGCAATGTACTTAATCATTCCCTCTGATTTTTTGGTAGCAATTACGAAATGTATAATAGTTGCTGCAGTTGCATTTAAAAAAAACAAACGAATGATTGATACAAATTCAGCCTCGCAGCAAATTGTCTCATTTAATTTGGGACAACAGAAGTATTTTTACCGATGACACATTCATTCGAAGCTCAAACCACTGCAATACGATAACAGCCACTGTTGCCACTGCTGTATCCACGAGCACACAGGCAAACCTGAGACTTTTCAAGATCATTGCAGCCAGTGTTTTGCAATACACCAACAAGCATCACTACCACAAGCCACACTGCATGAATACAACCAATGACATCCTTAGCAAGAAGACACAGAAAACTTCAATCCATCCCAGCAAGAGACACATGATCTGATCATCGGAATGATGGCCTCACAGAAAAGTTGTGCAGCAAAAAGTACTGCAGCAGCATCTAGCCAGGACAACACAGAAGGAAATCGCAAGCGTGTTCAAGTTTTGTTCCACAGCAACAGTTTGGCTGCCTGTTCAAGGTGCACGGCGATCTTGTTGAGCTTGCAGAAGTGGCTGTGAAAGTGCACCGTCACAGTTGGGAAGAACAGGTAGGTGCACCTTCAAGAAGAAGATGTCGGGACACTGCATGCATAGGTAGAAAATTTGAGCAGCAGAGAGGTCATCTGTCTCTGCCCTCCCCATAATCTGTGAGCAACGAATTATCCCCTTCAGGTTGTTTTTTACGGCGATGTCCATCACCAGTGTCCAATATTCGGCTGGGCTCTTGTCGATTTCCTTCTGTGTTCCACTCAATTCCAGTGTCAACCCAGGGAATATAGACACATCTTAGGGACGCCCGCCCAACAGAAACACAGTTCTGACTGTGGCAAGAGTTCCCGAACGTCAAGTATGCCCCGGCATCAGTCACTTGACAGTTGACTGTAATACATGAGCTTTCACAACATCATGGTGATAACATCTGTCCATGGAGGCTCCTGGGCCCTGCCAAAAAAATCGGTGTTAATTCCCATAGAGTCTGTCCACCTTCATCGTGCCTGACAACATGAAGAAGCCTTCTTCACATTAACAATACACATACTTACCTGTCTACTTCTGTAGAGCTCGTGCTCATTATAGAAACCGTTTGTTTTCAGTCAACAAATTGTCATTTCAACGGCTTGAGATTGTTCAATGCATAAGCAATGGTGCTGCTTGGAATAGCAACAACACCAGCACCAACAATAAATGGCAACAGGGGGTTGGATGAATAGATACATGCCCATCATGCCAAGGGACACAGGCTGGATGTTGGATCATGGCTGAAGAGGTGGGAAACCTGGCCAGCAAAATGGGCCCCCATCAGAAACTGTTGTGCAAGCAGGGAAGGATTTCGATCATATCCATTGTCGCGTCGGTCGCCGAGCCACGCACGGCGAAGCACAGGCCCAATCCGCCGCCCCTCTGCGCCTTGAAGCGACATCGCACCTCGGCGAGAGGGCGCTTTACAGCGGCTTGAAACTTGTCCGTAATCGTCCCAACGTGATGACGACACAGGCCGGTAATACCAGCCCGCCTCATCATCAGTTATACGACGAACACCTCATCTTTACCTAAGGCCAGATGTCATGCTACATATGCAAAGCGGCACCCCGCGCTCCCCAGTATTCCCTCAACATGGCGCCAACGCTCAAACTCACCTACTTCGACGCGCGCGGAAGGGCGGAGGCCACCCGCCTGGCGCTGTGCATCGGGGGGATCGAGTTTGAGGACAAGCGGGTCACCGGGGATGAGTTTGCGGCGCTGAAACCCACTCTGCCCTTCGGCCAGGTGCGTGCAGATCGACCGTCACAACATCAACAATCGTCACAAAATCAACCACTGCGACTTCGCCTTTCAGCAGGAAAGGCGAACATGCGGCTCGAGCTTTTTTTGGGGGGAGGGTGTGTCGACTGTGCGTGCGTTGTTGGTGGAATATCGCGCTGCAATTGAGTGCGGCGATGTCGGTTTCCGGCGTTGGAGGAAAATATGCGACTCAGGCGCTTAGGTGCGGATGGGGTGCAGGTCGGGGGACCAGTGTCAGTATGTTGCACTGCCTGTGGACGCTGGCAACGCACTAGAGGTCAGCATCGTTGTGTTTCGGCTTGGAAGGGGAGTCTGCGGCACAGGCGGTGTTTTGAGAACGGGGCTAGATTGCGACCATTAGCTGCCCTGCGGGCTGATTGTTGGGCTGATCTTCCACCGCGCCAGTATGATCAATGGAGTAAAGCACCCGTGACAGTTCTGTACTATGTGCTTCGCGTTGCATCTGAGAGTTCTGCGTCGCGTTTCACAGCATGGGCGGGAATCTCGTGAACTTGTTTGCCTGCAAGCACGGCGACTGTTGTATGCGAATTGTGTCGCATAGCGTTGCATGTAATCTTTGACTTGCAGAGTCCGCTTCCGCAGTAGCCGTTTCGAACGGCCCGGCTTGGCTAAGGGCGTCCTTTGCTCGACAACCCTGAAACCCTGTGACTATTCAATTGCCATCGACTATGATCCAAATTTCCCCACTGCATGTTCTGCACTCTTTCGCGATCGGCGTATGTTGGAATTGGGACTGTAGTGGCTATTGCATGACGTGACCTCGCTGTGACATCCTTTGCCCATGAACTGGGCTGCCTGTGGCACAACTCCCCATTTGCAAGTATACATACATTCCCACGCTGCCTTGCCAAAAGCAACTGCCCCAACACTTTCTTTTGCATGGCTCATTGTGTGGCCTGCTTGGCATCGCCGTGACGTTCGTTGCTTCCGCTTTTTACAGGTCCCTGTCCTGGAGGTGGACGGAGAGATGCATGCTCAGACGGGCGCCTTCCTGCACTACACAGGCAAGCTGGCAGGCCTCTACCCAAAAGACCCTCTGGAGGCTCTGCGGGTGGATGAGATTGTTCTCGCCTTGGAAGACATGACTGCGGCCATCATTCCAGTGTTCTATGAAAAGGACGAGGCCAAGAAGGCTGAAATGATCAAGGAGTGTGTGGATGTAACGATGCCGAAGTGGCTGTCGAGCATAGAGAAGCGGATAGTGGGCAGAGGTTGTGAGTGGGCGGCTGGCGACACGATGAGCATCGCCGATCTGTGCATTTACAGCTACTGGGTGAATATTGCCCAGGGTGCGCTGGCCATTGTGCCCACGAACTATCTGGAACCCTACACAAAGCTCAGCGAAATCGGCCAAAAGGTGGCAGACCACCCCAAGGTCAAAGAGTGGAATGAGAAGCACTAGGTGGTAGATGGTGACTTGCTTGTTCAACCACTTTGATGCATGGCTGCCAGTTGTTGGCATGCTTGTGGAGGACATTGCCTTCATTGTTGGAGGACATGTATGCTTAGTTGTGGCCCACCCTCTTGAGCTGGAGACTTGCATGTGCACTGGGCCACAGTATGCAGGAGCAATCAACCACCGCACTGTCAGCACTTGGGGGGATTGCAGCTATGCAGTGCTCTTTGAAGGTGTTCAAACAGGTTGGCAGGGTGTTGGGAGTCCCTGTTTGCAGTTCCTTGAGTGGACTGGGGAGGACGCTGATGGGTTGATGTCCATTGAGCTCTGCTCAAAAGCGGCTTCAGTGCTGTAAAATTGTAACCTTATGCATCAGGTGCTGTGCACTGGTTCCATCTGGTGACATTTTTGTGGCTTTGAAGTACTCAGTGGGCATCACTCCATTTAATCCATGCCAATCTGGTACTGACATGAAAATGGGGGACATACATGAATGCAATTGAGTCATGAAAGCAAAAAAGCAATGTTAACATACGGAAACGAGAGGGATCTATTCTTGGGTTTGCGGCTGGGTGATTGACTGGCCTGACTTTCCTATTTGCAATCAAGCCTGTGCGTTGAACCATCTCGAGCCATGGATTGTCAGCCTGTTGACTGGAAATAGACAAAATCCTACAGAAAGGACAAACTCTGCGGAAGCTGGACCCGTAATTATGCTTATTGTTGACATGAAACAACATTTTCAAAGCGCTTTGAGGTGTGGTGAGCCAGCAGTTGCACTCGGTGGAACGGATTAAGGGGTATCTGACCCAACCAAAATGTCGAAATTGATGACGATACCCTGCGATGAGATGATCTCCTAGGAACCTTCACCAAGCGACACAACGTGCAAAGCAGCGACCCAGGCAGCTGGCTCATGAGCCATCGAGCATGATCCAGTCACAAAATTCAGTTACTTGGTTATTGAGATGGTGATATACTAGGGGTTTTCTTGGGGCATCACCATTCGCCCAATGCACAGAAGACTTGCCCTGAAGAAAGGCCACGGAAAATGGGAAGACGATGATATGGGAAAGTCGTGAGATGTATGTTGGCATGTAGCTCCATGTCTAGAATTATCCCCAACAGATTCGGCATTTTCACAAAATACAATGGAGGGGGGCATCTTTGCTGTGTTCGAAGATTTTGAAAAGGGCAATAACGGGCTGAAGATCCCTGACGATAGCGTTGCAGTTGGAGGCTTGGAGTGCAGGTCCCATCATGTGGTGATTTCGGCATATTCTTGGGCACACATATGGTTACAGTCGTACTCATTGTCCATTAGGTGTACTCGTCCTTGCCGCATGTCTGACCGGTGTGCGCCTGGTGGCACTGCAGAAGACATGGTCTGTTGGGTTGCATTCTGGTGCATGCTTCTTTTCATAGTCCTAAAGGCCACACCTTGGATCCCTTGGTATCTGACGTCGATTGCACGAAGGCAATGGCGTAGAAACAACTCCATTTTCAACTACTCAATGGATAATTTTTCGTGCGCAGGCGATCATCGTGCGGGTCGCCCAGGGGGCAAGTTTGTGGTTGGGTGCATGTGCCGTGCTGCCTGTTGCATTGCAGCTTGTCAGATAGGAGGCGATTGCATACCTTCCATTTGCGATTGTATCTCTGGACCTCGTGATTGCGATTCTGGAGTGCTGGACCACACTAGTCCGTCTCGTCAGGCGCCATTCCCCTCCGTTTCTGTTGGAATTTCATGATGCGTTTCAGCAAGGAGAACACCGGCCTTGGGGATGCCAGGGCCCTGATGTGCGCCAGCCCTCCCAGACTGATGGGATCACATGTCACAATACTTAGGCATCCCTTCAAACCGGCGGTACTGAAACAGCACCGATTATGCATAACGGGCAATCCGTCCATATCATCAAGAAATCTTACACACCAACGCGAACAAGCAGCCATCAGCTCCCCAATTCACCCGAACAAACAGTCCGTCTATATGCATCTACTCTACCCTGATCTATACCCTGACGAGACATGACCTCGTGGTACCAGGCCGGGAGAAACAAGCCCTGCCTTAAGCCGGGATTTCTGTTAATGATGCAATCGCTCACACCCTGGTAGAGCCCATCTATGCAGACACTGCACTAATTTACGCCCTAGTGGAGATGTTACCTCGTTGTGGTAGCACGCCAGGAGAGGCAAGCTTTGCATTGGGCAGGTTTTTCTGTTAGAAATGCATTCATTCATTCATACCCTGGTGTACGGAGTTTCTAGCGGTTTGGAGGCAGCTGTGACCGCCGTTAGTGGCATGCGTTTGGAAGCCTAGGTGGGCCTTGATGTGCCCCTTGCAAAGTGGATTCACATCCATTGATAGATTGCTTGATGTCGTGTCGATGCATCCCTTCAGGCAACAAACAAACCATCCAACAAACAAATGCCCTGGTAGGTTATATCCATGGAGATACAATACTTTTGCATGGAAATACCTTATCTTATTTCATTGATTGGCCCTTTGCCAGGGTGTGAATGAATGAAATGATGCCTCCTCAACATACAAACTAGTCCAATATAGTTGTAAAATGGTATTAATATACACTTTATTGTATTGATGGATTAATGTGCTTTATTTATCGTAATGCATTTAATGCATTGTAATTTAGTGTAATTATTTAATGTATTGCATTGATGTAGTTATGCCTTGCAAGGCATAATTATGCACTCCCATGAAAGAACGTTGGCTGTGGCGTCGAGCCTCGAACCACCACAGAAATGGCATCCAGATGGGCGAATCTGCTGGCAATGGACCGGTCACGCACGAAAATAGACGCTCGCCCGCTCGAGTTGAACTTGACGGCGATGTGCACCCACAATGGGCGTCTGTCAGCGCGGCATGTTCACAGATCGGTGGGGTACAATCCCCGAAAGACACTCACAGAACAGCGAGGTGGGCCCAAGGTTCGCTGTTGTTCGTTACAACCAAAGCTGTGTGTCTTTACATATCCAAGCCGCTGGGTGCGGCGCCGTTACCAGGATCCACGAAAGGTCCCATCAGATTCGTACAGGGTGCCGCTGCACCTCGCCCTTGGGTGCGCTACCCACGCCCTAGCATACCGGCCGCTCCGATCTATGTACCAACCTGCGATACCCAAGGTTGCGAACCCACTCTAAGCCGCCGGGTGCGTCACCAAAGTCCCAAAACACCAGCGACCCGTACTAAAGTACTGGCCCGAATTACCCAATCTAGACGGGCGGTACCGCGCTCAGCTTTCTGAATCATCCGGCTCCAAATCTACCATATCTCCCATCAACCACGGACTTCCCTGGCCGCGGGTCAGCATAGGGTGCAGCACCCGCCATAGTTGGCCCTCACAAAGTACTGTACTTCAAGTGGGTGCGACACCCACCAGGCTTCGGCCTCTTAAGTACGCCAGAACTCGTTTCTGACGCTCCCATGGAAAGCCTGGCGTGTCCAGTCGTTGTCCAGGGGTGTTTCCCGCGGTGCGACACATCTCCAAAGTTCCCAGCTTCATCTCCAAGGGTTGAGCACATTCTCCATTCGTCCGTCGCCTCTTTAACGGTCCAGCTCGTCCTCCAGGCATCCGTCAATGGTCGTACAGAGTGGCACGTCATCATGCCTTCAACATATTCTCACAAAGGGCCGTCTTCTGTCATCAGGGCCTCCGGCTCAAGGGCACTTGTTATCGCCAGTACTCACGGTATACTCTCACAGGGCAGCACACGTCCTCAACACCGTCACTTCGTCTTCGTAGGGCAGGGCACATCCTATAATCTACGCAATCAATTATCAAACACTCCAGCGCTTATAGACTTCCCCGGAATCAGTTCAATGTAGGGTTGCTAATGCCAAAGTACGTGGTTCCGGCGGGATACTCAGAAAATCGTCACATTGGCCCCTTTTGTGGCACCCTGGCTTCGAACAGCCCAGAGCAGTCCCGCCTGATCGACGGGGCCCCCGCGCCCCCTCCCCCCCAGGATGGCCTCCGCCGGCACTGCGCAAGGCTCTCCGGCTGTCGCCACCTCGCCGACCGCCGCGCAGCGCCGCATCTGCGCCTGCAATTGCCGGCCGGAGGCCTCAGGGCGGGGCAATGGCATCAATGGCGTCAGTGGCATCGTGCAGCCCGTGCGGTTGGCGGTGGGCGGCAGAAGATCTGTGGGGTGGAGGAGGGAGGTTCGATCGGGGGAGATGGCGAGGTTGGGTGTGGCCTGTGTCGCGGCGTCTGGCATGCCGGATGCGATCTTGTTTGATTGCGACGGCGTGCTGGTGGATACGGAGAAGGATGGGCACAGGGTGGCCTTCAACAAGACCTTCGAGCAGAAAGGTGGGGGCTGTTTGTGGGTGGAATATACAGAGGAATGTGATGCACAGAGGAAGTGGGAAGGGGGAATCGAGAGCGAGCGTGGGATGCAATGGGGATGATTGGGGGCCAGGGAGGGTCGATCATCGTCTGCCGTTATGAAGGAATTGCATCGCGGCACGTGCGCATTCCTGGCTGAACAGGAGCCATCTGTCGGGCTCGTCCATGGCGTCCAAAATGAGGTGGAGATAGATGGAACACGAAAGGGTGGGAGCAGGTGCATTTTGTTTACTGACTTTAATCAACGTTGATAAATTACTCAATAGCTGCCAGATGTTAGAGGGCCACAGGTCTATCCACAAGGTATTGTACCAAGCTGCCTTTTGTACCTTAATTCTTGAAGAGTGGTCAGAGAGGAGGTTGTGTGGGGTAATCTTGGGAAGGTGCATGACTAAGGGTGACTCAAAGCATTTGAATATAGCCCATGCACAGGTCAGAAGGTCCTTGTTCTGCTTATCCCATTGTTTTGCCTCTTATCTACCTAGTGCATGTATTGCACCTGTGCTGTCCTCTTGAATGCAATGCGCTCCTGCTTTCAACCAGCATTCTGGAAACCCTCTTTCCAATTTGCAACACTAGTGGTGGGTGGGAGGATGTGAATATGTGAGCTCCATGGCACCGGAATCGATTTCCCTCACAAAGTGTCTGGACAAAGGAATATTCTACTCATCTAACCCACACCCCTAAACCACTAAACCCTTGCCACACCCAGCAGCACTGCTTGTGAGCATGAAGGATAGTACAGATTCCTCTTTGGATATCATACAGACCCAGCTTGACAGCAACGTTTGGGTCATAAAAAGCAGGTCGATGTTGATATCCTCGTGTCCTGCTGCAGTGTTGCAGAGTAGTTGTGTCTATCATCGAGGTAGCATTCTCATGCTTCTGAAATGGCTGGATGAAAGTCTCTTGCTTTGGTCAAACAATTACCACACATTTCTGCCTTGGTGCGATTCCTTTCCCCAAGTCAGAGATCAATGCACCAACTATCAAGGCAAAAAGTTGAACTTAGATCTGAGTGTGGTGATAATAGGGGGTTCTCAAACACCATCACAAGGTATGCTTTGCTCACAGTTTTCCAATGTGGCAGGCCATCCACTTGCACCTTCAAAAGTGATGGTGGGCAAATAGGGTGCAGGCGGTTGCAAATTGGTGAAGATTGTGGATGTGGTTCTGCCTCAGGTCTGCAGCATGAGTGGGGTGTCGAGCTGTATGGGAAGCTGCTGGAAACTGGAGGAGGGAAGGAGAGGATGACAAAATACTTCACGGTTTGTTACTGGCTGTTGGACAGAAATCATCATGGTGTTCCTGTCTATTGGTTACACATTTCATATTGTGCCTGTTATAGCATTGTTGGTCAAAAGCACTCGAATATGCTAAAGCAAAGGTGTTGTTTGCGTGTCATGTGTCCTATGTGTGCAATGGCATCTGCACTTTTTAGCTGCCAGTTGTGAAAGGGAGCCCAATTCCTGGTTGAGTGCTTGTGAGCGCAGTCAATTCAGCCTTGAAACCCCTTCCCGTGGGCGCCTTTGCACCTGCACCTGCAAATTTCAAGATGCTGGTCAAGTCATTGGCCAGTGCATGTCAAATTGTTCACCCAAAAAAACTCTTGCAATGCTGCTTGCCCATTTGGCAAATCAATGGCAACTTGAACACACCATCATGAGGAACACGCTGCAACATAACAAGAAGCAAGTTTGTCATGAATTTGATTGGAAATGCTCGTCACATTGGAGTACACAGGGCCGCTCCAGACTTGTCAGTTGTCAGTATGCCAAGTTGGCATACTGACATATTTACCTTTTCCTCATCTTTGCAAAAGTAAAAAGAAAACTGTGTGCTGAAACACATGTTATGAGTGCCTCATCCTGATATTGGTGGACCAATAAGACAACCGGCTTCTACACCGTGGCTCATGCACAATGAACGATAGTACAAACTTGCAATTGAGTGGTCGCTAATTCAGAATTCAACACAGGTGTAGCCTGCTATTGTGAATGTGGCTGAACTTGCATGCATTACTGTAGTATATTCAACGCATGTTGAAATTTCAGCATGACATTTGTTGCTTCGCATTGTTTTTTGGCAAACTGTTATTCTGGGGGGCTCCGCATCTTGGCCACAGCCGACATGGCAACTCTGCTCAGTTTGCTGGCTCAAATGCTGGTTTCCTACCACAGCAAATCGTGCATCTGGGGCTGCAAGTCACCACGAGCAGTCTAAAGACTCACAGTGCAGCTGGGGTTGCTCTACATTTTGTTGACATTGGTGAATTTTATTTTCCCTCCACACAAGAAGGCCAAATGTTACACTACTACGTGAAAGGGTACAATATGCTACAGTACATTGGAGAGCTTAAGTCAGGAAGAATGAGGGGCTGACAGCAATGGCAAGGTCATTTTTAACTAGTGGTTGATCTGCAGTGAGCACTGCCACTGCCAAATGCAGAACACAAAGCACATCAGTGGAGAGTTGAGGTGACTGTTGTGCATCTCACAGGACTGCAAGGACCAGGATCCCTTCCTCTCAATTCAGGTAGGGGCATCAATTGTTTGGTGTGGACATCCATAGCATCGCAATCAGAAGCATGGTGTTGGGCAGTCTCTATTAGTTTGACAAGATCCCCACGTGCAGAGAAGATTCCCACGTTTTGAATATGCTTTTATTTATCAAAAATGCAAAGCTCAATGTAAGACAGTATTATGGTGATAAATCCCAATTATAGCACCAGCCCAGGGTGGAGAAAAGCGTGTGATGCAGGCATTTCTGAACTGAACTTAACTGTTGTTCATCGCTGTCCACACAGGGCAACGTGAACTTTCATTTCACGAATCGCATTTGACCGACCAGTAAATGAACAGAATGATGCAGTCGACAGGCCTGTCTAGGCCCTAATTCATTTTTGTGGGCTCTCCAAACCCCACAGCACAAGAGACGTGCACATTATTCAAGGCCATGGACCACAATCAAGACTGCTGTCTCGTGCAGATCTATCAACCAGGAACCCTGCAAGCAAAACGATTATTCTTTTGTCCCTTCTGCTGACTCTGCAGTACCTGGTAGCAGATGTACCTGTGCAAAGTAGGCAGGCATAGAAGCCACCTACAACAGCCTTTTCTGCGCAATGAGCGCACCATGAGCCTGCAGCATCCTCAGTCGAAGATTTCACTAGAATTGACTGTCCAGGCAGACGACACTGGCCTCATCGTGGGCTAGGTTTTCAAGATTGTGGACCCAGTTGGGGGCGTGCTAGCAAGGCTCAGAGACACGTCATAATGTTGTGTCAATGCTCCATGTATTCTCTTTAACCACAGCAACAGTAACAACAACCAGCATTGGCCTGTTGCTTGCTATTCAGGGAGCTGAGGAACGAACACAGCTTGTGAAGGAGCTGCATAAGCTGAAGACAGATACGTTCATGACCATGATAGAGTCAGGCGCGATGCCATTGAGGCCTGGTGTGAAGAGGCTGATTGGTGAGTGTTTGACAGGCCAACGGAGCAGAATTATGTCAGGCACCAACACCTTTGCTTGCAAGCAGCAGCGGGTATATAGCAATAGATGAAAGCGCAGCTGCCTGTCAGATTTTTGTCTGTGCAGTTGTGAGAATTCTTGTGGGAACTTGTGAGATTTTTTGCATAGTGTATACTGAGGATGCATGGTGTATCCTCATTGCTGTTGCGCACAGCAGCCTTTGGCGACTACTGATTTGGGGGAAATGCTTCTGAGCAGTTGGCTTAAAAAGTGCAGCCATTGGGGAAACTTTGTACTGTTGCCAATATGGCATGGCTGATAGCAGACATTGAGATATACCATTGAGACTGTGGCAACTATCTGGTGATCGCCTTAAAGGGTGCAGCAACCAGGTAACTGATATTGCACCCTTGTGTACAAAATGTTGCCAAACCACCTGAGCTGGTGGAGATGCAGGGCCATCAAAGCAAGCCGTTATATTTGCCAAATGTAATTCATTGCCCAAACTATAGTTGTGACTGAGATGTGTTGGCAATCCTTTGATCGATGTTGTGGTTTTGCTTGTTTCTTTGCTGTAGTTGGACAAATGAGAAAAGCACTAAGGTGCCACTGTGTGCTGTTGAAGAGGAGCTGCCAAACCGCCTGAGCTGGTGGAGATGCAGGGCCATCAAAGCAAGTCGTTGTATTTGCCAAATGTAATTCATTGCCCAAATTATAGTTGTGAGTGAGATGTATTGGCAATCCTTTGATCGATGTTGTGGTTTTGTTTGTTTCTTTGCTGTAGTTGGACAAATGAGAAAAGGGCTAAGGTGCCACTGTGTGCTGTTGAAGAGGAGGCCATTGGCAGCGGCATCACTGTGGCTGTGTGCAGTACATCCAATGAGCGAGCCGTGTCCACCATAGTGCGGGTGATGCTTGGCCCACAGGTCGCAGAAAAGATGCGGGTCTTTGCTGGAGATGTGGTTGAGAAGAAAAAACCCAGTCCCGATATTTACCAACTTGCGGCACAGGAGCTTGGTGTGGATCCACAAAGGTTGGTCCATTGTCTAGCAGGCAGTTCAGCCTAGCAGGCAACATTTAGGATCAGGAAGGGCTGTTTGTGAGTGAGTGGCACTAGGTGTCACCGGCACCTAGTGGTCTTTTGCACAGTTGTGGTTCCTGTTGAAACCATGTTCAATTGCTGAGAATCTTTAGCCACCAACACAAAGAATCGTAGCACTTGCGACCAAATCGCATTATCTTTACCACGTTTTGGAAGCAGTTGATGTCAATGTGTTTCGATATAATATTAGCTGTCGTAGGAAGCAGCACTCCATTGGGAAGCTGAACGCATGGCCTGTGCTAGGAACCACACTGTAGACGGACTGTCACCTTGACAGTCGTTTGTCATGATCTTGGCTGCGCAGTGGATAAACTGGAGCGCATCAACAGGGTTCACCTGGTTTTGTTTTGTGCTGCTTTGTAGACGCATTCTCAATGTGCTGCGTGTTTCATTTGAAGGAGCTGAAAGTGCCTTGTGTAGACAAAGCGTTAGCAGGCTGGCACACAAGCAGTGATTGCCAGAGCAAGTTCCAAGTCCCTTTGATGGATATGCCCATGGTTCTTTCAGCTTCTGTGCTGATGCCACTGCCTGTTGCTAGGCCCCGTTGGGCACTTCCTTCGGGCCCTGTCTCAAGAGTGGCTCTGTGTTGATGCAAAGAGATCGTGCAACAGTGCCTCTCCGTGTCAAGCATGCGTTCTTTAACATGATCGTTTTCGCGGGGAACAGTGCATCGTTGATGTGCTTGACTATCAGGTTAAAATCGTTGCTCCTTAACAGCGTGATCTGGGCCCATGTTCCCCTGTGCCTTGGACCATGCGCAGCGTAGGTCCTTAACAGTGCGGTGGACTACACTGTAGGTGCGTTGTGGTGGAAGACAGCAAAATTGGTTTGCAGGCAGCGAAGGCCGCTGGAATGAGGTACGACATGGGGGTTGTCAGAGTTAAACTCACATGGCCCCAACCTCTGGTCGTGCTGCATGTTTTGAAAATGAACTGCTGTGATGAAGCAACGCACATGCCCCAACACCACTGCTGCTCGCCGCGGCCTTATGCCAGTGGCAGTGGATCACCAGGACAACGCCTGTCATCCAGCTATTTGTCTTCCGCCGCGTTGCTGGCGATCTGAGCATTCCGTTGCCTGCTTGTTACACCATGACCTGGCCTGACACAGCATGACGACGCCATGACATGATCGCATTGTTTGTTGTTTGTTTGCTGATTTTGGATAATTCCAAAACAGTACGTCACTTTTCAGCGTCCAGGTGCCGCATTGTGTTTATTAGACACGATGCGTCAGCCTCAAAGGCTGAATTCGTTCGCTCACCCACCCTTTTTGTCGCTTTCTTGTTCTCCCAGGTGTGTGGTGACCAAGAGCAGCTACACCCAAAATGAAGACTTTGGCAACGCGGATGCCGTGTTCGACTGCATCGGAGATACGCCTCAAGACGGTTTCTCGTTGCAGGATCTCGCATTCGAGGACTCAGGGGGACTGAAGGTTTCATCTTGATGGCTCTTGACTTGCAGTTTTTGAGGTCTGTGGCCACGAATATCGTGTGCCAGACCACCAATTTTTTTGTGCTCTCGGGGCCACCTTCTCTTGCGTGCGCGCATGTCAGCCCAGGGTTGTCGCAGGTTGGCTTCTGTGTGCAAGGCATAGGGGATGGCGTTGGGTAATACCTTGTCATTTCTTGACAAAATTAATTAACGGATTAAAGCACACCGTAGTTGCCCACCCGGTGCTGTGAATTGTACTGCCATGTCTGTATCCTTCCCCATCCACAGGCTTTGCCAAAAGGGAACTGATGGGCTCATTGCCGGTGCCATGGATTTGGCTTGGCGCTGATCCTGTCGAATTGGTGTCAGGGAATCTCGTGCCCTGTGAGCTCATTCAACCAGTCCAAGTTCCGATTGGATGACGGTTCAGTATTGAAGGTCACTGCACGGCACCTGCAGTGTGGCGAAGTGCAGCAAAACTCACGCACACCTGATACGCTGATTGTCTCCACACTGCTGCAAACCAAGAAAGGGAGCTCCAATGGAGAGTCGTCTTGCATAGCAACCCCGATCATGGAGCAACAACACGAGTTGCCTGGCACCCATGGTATAGAGAGAAAGGGGGCAATTTCGAGGGCCACATCATTGTCGCGGACTATGAATGAAAGGTGACACGTCAAGGTTTATAGTACAAGTTGTACTGTACAACTTTGTACTGGTGTGGGGGAATCATCATGCGGACGGCTGCAAGAACCGCGGCTGCAACGCATCCTATGCATGAAGAATGGCGCACAGAACTGGATTCAAACATGCGAATCCTGGCATGTTGTTGGTCTCTCCGATCAGTTGGTCTATTGGACGTATTTGTGTGCTTGTTGCTCGACTATGTCAACCGCGCAAGAGTTGAAATGTTGTCCGTAGCCACTTGAAATAGACCTCGAGGCGCCCAAATAACCATGCGCATTCCAGTGGGCAACTCGAAGCCCCTCTGGGACACAATGTGGTCCAGCTGGCGGTCAGAGGTGGAACATGCATTCGTCGCCCCCAAGACAGCCATTGCTACACATAATTTCATATATATTGAGCTACAACTACAGTTCTTAAATTGATGCATTTTGAATGAACGGAGTAATATGGTTTGTTCGGGTCACCATAATAACACCTCATTATTTATACAATGAGCTCATGCATTGCACCCTCACTACATTATGTTGGCACCCCGAGAGGCCCAGAGATAGCCTAGAGTAGGCTTGAAACTCCGATAATTGCCAACCATTGACTGCAGAAGTGTGGACATCGAACCATCAAAAAGTACCCTGTCTTTTGGGATGGCTACCCTGCCCATGAAGTGACTTGGGAGCCTTAAGACAATCTCCAAAATGCACAAGAGGAGATTATGGAGTACTATGGTCGCATTGAGAATAATGCTCAGTTTAAAGCGGGGAGATTATAGTGACTCAATATTGTAATGTACTTTGACGGATAATTAGATGAATTAAATGAGTAAGATGAGCTCATCTAAGACTAGAAATGTTTTTATCACAATCACCACATTCATCTTGCTAAATATGCCTATTTTAATATAATAACATCATTAATGTTGCGGCCCCGTCGGCAGCCGCTGGTTTCCGGAGGCGTTGGGGTCGCCCTGCCCTGCAGCTCGGCTGTTGGAGGTCAGCCGGCCCTCTCCACCTTGGACGGTGGGCGTATCCGGGGCAGTCGCTCCTGTGGCCGCGCGGTGCGCCCAATGCTCGACGGGGATCGATCCCCGGGGCCTGCTGTCGGCGAGAGGTGGCGGCGCAGCGAGGCGGTGGTTCGCTGGCTCGCAGGAGGCCAGAGAGTGGGCCAAAAGTGTTACAATGATTCACTGCATGCGCGCGCACATATTGCATGCGCGATGCCCGATCGCAGGTCCATCGCGGTCACATCATGACAAGACAAGACAAGACAAGTGCGCATCCAGGCACCTCGTCACCGTCCACCGTTCACCTAAATCAGCTCCGTATAATCCCCGATGCTTCCATCTACCGGTCCGAATCCCCTGCTAAAGTACTGCAACTTCAAACGGCCATAACTTTGCCGTTTCTACACGGAATTGGACGTTTCAAGGCGCTATTAGCATCAGGAGCTTCTGAATAAGCTGATTTTGCCGTATTTGCACTTTTTCAGCCAACCGCCGTTTCAGAAAAGTCAATTTTAGCCTAACCCCAAGTAACCACGTCATAATTAAATATTTTAGTATATTTAGCCCATTTATGGCCATTTGGAGCATTATTCCTTAATGGAATTGGCTTGATTATGAATATTATAATTTATTATAATGTGGTGTGCAGTTATAGACATATGGGGAATGCCAAAGAAGTGGTGGAGTATACTCCAAAGGATGATTGGTGTGATACGGTAGTATGAACACTTGTCAAGTATTTGCATTATATTGGAGTATAGGTACAAGCACCCATGTCACTATGGTACCTCGAAGGGATGTGAGAGTGCTTGGAGAAACCGCTTGGCATTATAAAAGGTGTGCCAAGGGGCCAAAGGGCCATGTACGTGGCTCTCCAAGGCCGAGGTGGCATTACAGGAGGCCAATGTTGGCATTACGGAAGTGTAATATATATTATAGTAATGTGGTAGCAATCCATTGGCTTCTTGCCTTGCCGAGCAGAGCTTGGCCTGTCGCCGAAGTCGTGGAGGCCGTATGCGGAGCGAGGCTTTAGCCCGAAAAATGGGTTTGGCCAAATGGAGATTCTTAATGAATATGATGACTTTGAAGAAATTGGCCGCCACATGTAAGAACGCCTGGTGGCGGTGCCGATTGTAGCGATCGATTGTTCTCGACCCTCCTTTCCTCCTTGAGCGCAACAACCGTGTGCATCAGGTGGGATCGCACAAAGCGGCCGTCACCCATGGGCCAGAGAGAGCCCGAGACACGCCGTCCGGCCAAGGACGACAACGCTTTCACCGGAGAAGCCATAGAACGCGGGCCAGGGTGTGACGTGGTTACTTGGGGTTAGGCTAACATTGACAATTCTGAAGCGGCGGCTGGTCAAAAAAGTGCAAATATGTTAAAATCAGCTTATTTAGGAGCTCTTGATGCCAATAGCGCCTTGAAACGTCCAATTCCGTGTAGAAACGGCAAAGTTATGGCCGTTTGAAGTTGCAGTACTTTAGCATGGGATTCGGACCGGTAGATAGAAGCATCGGGGATTATGCGGGGCTGATTTAGGTGAACGGTGGATGGAGACGATGTGCCTAGACGCGCACTTGTGTTGTCTTGTCTTGATGTGATAGCGATGGACCCGAGATCGGGCATCGCGCATGCGGATTTGTGCGTGCACATGCAGGGAATTCGTGTAACCGTTCTGGCCCACTGCTTGGTCTCTCCGCGACCAACGAGCCACCGACTGGCTGCGCCACCACCCGCCGCATACAGCAGGCCCCGGGGGACAATCCCCATCGCTCTGGGCCCACCACGCATCCGAGGGAACGAACGCCCTGCTACCGCCCACCAAATTCGGTGGAGAGGGCCGGCTGACCTCCAACAGCCGAGCCGCAGGGCGTGGCGACCCCACGAGCTTCGGAAACCAGCGGCGCCCTTCAGGGCCGCAACAAATTGGTTTCAGAGCTGACAACCCGGAGCCAGAAGCTGAGCAGCGGGCGCAGCATCCGAAGAGTGACCCGTAGCCTCCAAGGCTGCAATTCCAGAAGCCTCCAGCACCCGCAGCGGCGGCCAGCCATAACCAACGGCTGAATCGCCGTGCTGTGAGCTGCGGTGTGCATTGAAGAGCCAAGGAAGAGCATTAGCATTGGGCGATTGAGTTTGGCGTGGGCAGAAGGCGGGCGATCGCCAAACCAGCGCATCCCAAGCAGTTGCATAGAGTATTCAGCGCTGGAATTCGAGTTGCGCCAAGCGCTCTACCCGCGGCCGAACAAGAGAAGGCCAACACCCATCAGTTGGAAGATTTCGTCAACCTCAGGTGCCACCCGCTGTAGAATAGGGGTGAAGGTCCCGCTCTAGAAGTAGGGGACATCTGCTGCTTCACCTTATTTTGCAGGTACTGCAGGCGGGTCACCACCAGACCGCTCTGCCACAAGATTGGGGGCCTGGCTAGGGGAAGGGGGAGGAGATTGAGCACGCATTGCCGTACGGCAATAGGCAGGCCCAATTGGGTCCAGAGTGCTACCTCCTAGAGGAGGCATCTCCCCTGGAACCGGTCAGAGGGTGAGGCCATTGCCCACCTGAGGTAGACAGGCCAGCCACCCCCTCTGAACCTTGGGTGGCTGAGTCTTAAAACATTAGACAGGTTGGGGGTGCCATAGGCCAACCCAGACCTCTAACAGCGGTCTCGTCCTAGGCAAGGGACACCTTCTTAGGTTGTTCGGCTGGCGCTGGGACTAAGTTTTCATTAGTAGCCACAGACGCACCCTCTGGAAAGTTACCAGGTGGACCGAGAGGTCACCCTACAAAGTACGGGGGGTAACTGTGTGTGAAAGTGATTACTGAAAACCAGTAGAAGCAGGATAACTTAAGTTGGGAGGTAAAGGCTGCTTGGCTACTTGGGGATATGATTCAGTGGATTTTCAGTAGCCCGAGATCAGGTCTACGCCGATTGACTTCGTTTCAGTACCATCGATCATCGGATCAGTGTCGTGGGTGGGATCATGGCAGATCGTGATTTGATGCAGCTGAACGGCCAAGATGGTGTGGAGGAAATTGACGGGACAGTGGAGACAATCACTAGAGCTGGACGTGTGGGAGTTATTGCTGCATCATACGAGGCACGGCAACAGAGGATTTTGATTGCCGGGACAGAGCCGGGGGCAGTGGTTTTGGGAAACCCAGAGGGTGCCCTGGTCTCTAAGACCGAAGCTGCACAGGGGATGCAGAATCTAGAGCAGCGAGCTGCACAGGCAATAGCAGGGACTGCCGCTCAGACAGCACATGCCATGAATGTGCTGGTTGATCAGACGGCATCAGCAGTGCAGCAGACTGCCCAGACATCTCATAGGGCA